TGGATAAAATCATTCAAAGTCGAATCTACTGCGTCCCTGCATGTCTTTAAATGCTTAGAAAGCCGACGCTCCGATGTTTTTTGTTTGTGATGTGTTTTTGATGTTATTGGTCCCGCACGTAACATCACGGCTCTGAGGAAGGCGAAGTCGCCGAAACGTCAGCCATCGATCAATAACATCAAAAACAACGACAACGACAACGAAGATCTGTACCAACCTCGCGTCAGCTTAAGAAGATCAGTTTATAAGATCTCATAAATAAATATATCAACTATTTATGCCGAGGTTCATAGAAAGTCGGTCTTTCGAGCTTAGAAAGCCATCATTGTGTATGAATGAACGCATTTATCACGAATTGATGTCCTCAGTTTGGGTTATGTAGCGATTTATTCCTTGATACAAAAACATAACACGAATCTTGTCATGTTTCGCTCCATTGGTTTCCAGCCATATTGCGATTACGAGGATTCATATCACCAGAACAAATGGCCTTGAACTGTCGACTGGAATCGTTATGGCTCTGAAAAAAGCGAAGACGCAGAGGTGACAGGCACACCGGAATTTTTACAACAACCTCATGTTAGCTTACAAATGCAACAATATTTATTGTGCTATATTTCATGAGATGACCTGAATATATCACTCTGTTTGGATCTCAGAACTTCCTGCTTTTGAATGATTTCGCGGCATCCACCATCTGCGAAGTATTCGAACTCTTTTGCATATGGTTTCGGCTGTTGCATGCGGATTCTTTGGTCGTCGACATGAATGCCGTTAGATGCTAGACGAGTCGATGCATTCTGGAATCCTGAGATAATCGTGCTTATGCGTTCCAATGTGGATTAGGGAAGTTAGCTTGACCCATACAAATCTAGTACCAATTTCCCAACTTTCCATGGCATAAGAGGCTTAGTGGGCTTAGTGTGGCGACGAACGAGTGCCTTAGTATCTGCACTGTCCGCCTAATCAACAGAATCATAACCACTGCGCTGTACGCTACCAGTAAAATAATGTACGAATCAAAGTTCGAAAGGCAATTTAGTATCTCCATAACAGAAATCCTTTGTAAGTACCACAAAAAAGAAGTCAATCTGTTTTCTGCTACGCAGAAAAACCGTGAATGTAGTTTAGCAGAAATATGAAAATTACAAGTCATGGATTGAACAAATAATATCTCTGGTTGCTATATCAACGCGATGTGTTTCGTCAGTAGTAAACATCTTTTTTGATAACTGTTGAAAAATGTGAAGTTATAAAGTAAACAGATGAGCTAAACCACTCCACGACGAAAAGGTAACTAAGAGGACTTCTTTTTTTTATTTCCTGCCGTTTCCAAGTTTTCAAGGCACTATATTATTTGTGACACAACCACAATGATGCTGAGATATTTGCAAAGCTCCGGACCGCAGGTGGGGCGGGAAATGAATGCGCTATTACCCTTTCTAGGAGCTAACCCGATCACCACCACACCATGCGGGTCCTTCGTTTCGCCTACCTCTCAACTAGTAGGAATTCAATCAGATTGTGACCTCTTTATCAGTTATCTAGTGAATGGTGATGAATTTCTGCATTTGACACTATGGTGCAAAAAATTATTGTTCATCCCTTAGATACTGTTTTAAATAGAAATTGCATCATCTCTGTTCCTATAAATTGCTTATAAGCTCTCCAATCAGCTCGTTTCTTCTTTATCGACTCTGTTGCTCATCACATTGGCTTTGTTCATTCCGAGCATTAGGAGATATTAGTTCTGCTGAGCGTGCACAGAGGAAACATCATAAATGAATTCGGTGTTCACGAACACTGCTTTCATTTGGTTTAGTAGCTGACCGATTTTTCCACCAGTTCTACACGGGCCGGTATCTTACAATATTCACTCCGCTTAGCGAATAACACGTTTGTAACGCTAACTCTCACTATACCTATTCCATAGCTATGAAGCCATTTCTTCCTTACTTAATGCTCGTGACTATGACACCGTACGACTGTGTAGCTGAGTGGTGCCGTGCAATAAATACATGGTCCGAGGTTCAATTCCACGCCCCGGACAAAGCAAGCACTCTCTTCCTATAGGGTTGGCACGTTACTATTGAATTTGTATGAGAAAATAGAAAAACTGAATTGATGTGATAAAGTAGCCATCGACAAATCATTGCATAGACCTAATATGCATTTAGTCACCAATACGTTGCTACGAGTGGAGTCAAATACATGACGCCTCTCTAAGAAGTTGGTGAATGCCGGAAACTTTTAAGCATAATTAAACTCCTCACAGGAGCTTTGTTTAGTTAAATGAATGTAAACGAAATTGCTTAGTAAGACCTAGAAGACATCATTAGAGAAATCGTATGATTTTAATTCAGGTTACGACACTGTTTTATTGGGTAGGGTTCATGTTAGTGGGACTTTCCTAGACTTTAGCAAAATTCGTTGAAGCGTTAGCTATTGTAGAAAACTCAGGTCAACTCACAGAGAAAACCATAACTGGTTCTAATTGTTATTCTGACGTTGAGTTGCTGATCATAAAGATTTATGGCTTCCGCGCTGCTTCGTGCCTGTTGTTGTCGCTATCTCCTTCAGTCCCTCGTTGACGTGAATATGTCGATTAGTACGAAGACTTCATACTCATTGAGGCATGTTGACGATAATTACGTATTCGTTCGTCAACAAAATTGTCATCTAACGCCTGAGATCGGGCTCAAGTTCGAGCTTTCTCTTCATTATGAAGCCCTTTATGAATGAAGCGTCTAACTATACGAATGCATGAACCTCTAGAAGCATTCTTATAGGCGATGAGTAGGAGATAGGCAGCAGTAGCATCACCGTCTTGTGCATGTATTCTGATGTGGTTCTTCATTGAAAACCTCCATACACTTTTCAAAGTCGAATGTTCTCATCTAATCGGTTCTTATTAAGCTGAAAACATCACTGAAGTGAAAGTGCTGAAGTCCTTCACACACCTACGACTTTTTCTTAATGTTGACTTTGACAATATCACTTGTTCATTCTTTGGTTTCTGCAATCATTTTCTTCATGGATGTATAAGTGCATAACAAACAATTGAAGCGTGGACAAGCGCTTTATGGAATCCATATGGAGTTGAATTTTGGTGACTTTTTTCTTGGTTACTCAGTCCAAAGTCAAAAGATTACGATGTTTACCATGCTATGAAAATATTTTTTCGCCATCTTCTTAGACTGTATGAAAAATGAGGGTGCATGTAACGCACTGATTAGACGTGCCTTACAATACAAAAAGGGTCCTTGGTTCAATACCATTCCCAGGACTAACTATCTGTCCCGGGCCGGAAAATCAGAACCAGACTAGCGTCGGTAAGCTCTCACAAACCGTATTGTGAGCCAAGGTGCATTCAGTCATCTCCACGATGGAGTAAAATTGAAATCAAATGCATGACACATCCCTCAAGAGCTGAGCAACACTGAACTATCCATCCCTTATCCTTTATGTTTTGAAATGAGAGTTTTGAGAGATTCAAATTTATATTGTCATCTAATCATTTGTGGCAGATAATTTTTGTTCCATATTTTAATGTTCTTATTCATTTATTTCACGGATTTACAATTAATAATTGAAACTGATTCTTAACCTTTTTATTTACTACCTATTCTTTTTAACGGCAGGGTATGTTGCGAAATATAACTTCTATAATGCTGAGATATTTGCAAAACTCAGGACCGCAGGTGTCTGCGGTGGGGAACGAACGCGCTACTGTCCTTTCCGGGGAGTAACGCGTTCACCACCACACCATGCGGGTTCTTCGTTTCGCCTGTCTCTCAGCTACTTCTATCGATCTTTTGCCATCAGCAATCAGCAGATCGTGATTATAACTATAGCCTCAGCTTAACTGGGTTCAATGCCGATTTGGGCTCCCCGATCAAACCCATTGACAGGTGATTGCTGATGGTAAAAGATCGATAGAACTATCTGAGAGACAGACGAAATGAAGGACCCGCATGGTGTGGTGGTGAACGCGTTACTCCACGGAAAGGACAATAGCTCGTTCGTTCCCCACCGTTCGACACCTGCGGTACTTAGTTTTCCAAATATCTCAACATTATAGAAATTAAAACTGATTCGTTCGGTTAAATTCTATGGAGACGCTTATTATTGTATTGATAACTTTCCTTTGCACTGAAGGTATTTTTCCTCGATTTAACCTTTTATGGCTGCAAGTGTAGCACAAATTAGCAATAAGTTTTTTTCTGCCATTTCTTTAATGAATAACAGAAAATCTGACGTCATCTCTAAGAATTTGACATTTGCTGCAAATAAGCTCCCACTCTATAAACTGTAATATTTATGAAGGAAAAAAACAGCACGGAACGTTACAGAAAAGCTTATTCTGTGTTCAAATAGCTTTATTGTTTTTAATGCATAGGTTACTTATCATTCATACACTATGTTTTTAAAATGAACTTGAACTGGACTTAAACTTGCATTCTCTCTCATTTCTGGTTCCCTCTTTCTGACATAATTAATAGTAATACTAAATACTGCACGTAGCACGATGGCACAAGTGACATATAAAAATACGCGCAAGACCCAGGTTCTATTCCACATTCGGCCAACCAGTCTCCCATCCCACCTAAGTCAAAAATTGGTACTTGTCTGGGAAGAGGTCCCTCTTATACAGAAACGCAGGCGTCTGCCTGCGGTGATGACCTTGAAACTTCATAGAACGGCTATCCCAGTATTCCAGAGAAAATCGACTCTATCAGCATTCAACCACATTCCTAAAGAAAACCAAAAATCCTCTGGCAACAACCAAATCCATATGAAATATCTGAAAACCTTCGTGGATGTTTTTTTTTCACTAAACTTGAGTACAAAGCTGAAACATTAGCAGGTATGAAGGAAGAGATCCACTGAATTCGTTTCTGTTCTTCTTGCTACACTACGTCTTCTGCCTAACTCATGAGACAAAACGCTAACATCATAGACAGCAAAGAATTTCAAGATACGGTCCATAAGGGAAAGAGATGACTTCCTCTGTTGAGTTCCATGGCTTCACTACGATTATAGTGAAAATAGGAGTGAAAAAATTGAAGAACGGTGATTAATTACGAATCCGGAGTTCGTCATTGCTGAACGCAGATGAGCATTCTAAAAGAACTGACGAGTGTTCCTGAAATTCTGGCAGATAACTTCAAACTGCTTTTACCCACGTGTATGAAAATTTGTGACCGAACGGTCTATCTCTGAATCCATTGCCTTCAATTTGATAACGGAAAGTTCGACGTTCCACCACACTGTATTGTAGTAAAGACGTTTCTATGTACTAGTGTAAAGAAATATTTTAGCATCTGCTTCGATTGGATGTCAACTAGTAAAATCCTCGACCATCTTAGTTGAACTATTTCAATCCTCTGATGTCTAATATCCTCAATGAAGAAAGATTCGGTGAAATAGGTTGGGGATCAGGTCTGTGCCTTAAGGTATCCACAGGAAGAGATCCAGATTGCTTTTCTAGCTTTTTTCATTCAGATCTATTTAAAACCAAGCATATTTGCTGTTATGGTAATTATTGTTGAAAAAATAAATGAAGGATAAAGCGTTTGGAGTAGATGCGCAATGCATTCGACATTGTTACGAATCGTTAATGGTGATTGAATGCGCTGACCATCTGGCTCATACAATGACATGCGATGGTCTGCTGACCTATTAAGTCAGTGCTACTATCCTTCCAGGCAACTCAGCTCTGGTATCAATTTTCCGAATTCGGAAGGATGGAAGGCCTGGTGGGTTTGGGGCACGAGACCGAACCAGCGAACACGTGTATGTTGCACGGCACTTCTGACCACTGCGCTACACGCAGCCATCGTAATTTGTTTATTATGATATGTTTCTTAATATACCTTTATTTGCTATGTTCATTTTATTCATATTTTGTACTTTCTATTTATTATCGAAAATTTGGTATTTTTGAAACTGAATAGCTTACCACATATTATAAAATAGATTACGTTAATTAACAAAGATGCTTGAAAATGTCAATAGCGAATTCTCCAGTCGCATTTTTCACTGAGACTCCACTAAACATAATTCAACTGATCTCTCATGTCTGCCTATGATTTCTCAAAGAAAAACATCATCTAACCATTCAAAAAATAGAAATGGAAGCCCTTCTAGTGTCAGTATATGTTTTATTGGCTTTTTATGGTTGTTTTTCTCCAATGAGTTCTTTCTCGTTACAGAGTGACGATGTGCGATTTTGAAGTTCGAGTTCTTGGCAACAAGCATCGACACTCTGTACAATGCGTGTTGATGATCAACATGTTCAACGAGAAGGTATGACTAAAATCACTGTTAGTTAGTACTAAGCATACATACTTCCTTGCGAGGGTGCGTGTAACGCAGTGGTTAGGAGTGCCGTGCAGTAGATATATGTTCGTTGGTTCGATGCTGCGCAGCTGGCTAACCAATCCCTTCTTCCGTGTTGAGTGTATTGGTATGCTGTGCACCCGAAAACCATTGCAGAGAGCAAATATGCACTCATCCACCTCTACTATACCATGGATTGAGTCAAATGCGTGTCGCATTACCTGGATGATTAATTTAAAGCGAACCCTTTATCCCTACACTTTATCTTCTATTTATTTTCATCGAAGTCTACCCTGCTGCTATAAATAGCATATGAAACGGCACTTGAAATAAGAAACAAATGAAGTCACTCTTTTATTTACTGACTATTCTTTTCATGGCAGGATAAATGGGAAAAAAGTTCTCGGCGTTGATTAATCCCGAAGGGATGCACCATGCATTCGATTTCATCAAGTATAGTTTGGAGGTGACTGGATACATGTCTGGCCTTTACAATGGCTCGCGGTAGCATACCGATGTACCGAGCCAGTGCTGCTATCCTCCCAGATAAGTCTGGTACCAATTTGCCGATCTCGGATAGATGGATGGCTTAGTGGGCCATGCGCGCGGGAACCAATTCCACGTGTGTATTGCACGGCGCATGCTACCACTGTGCCACACGCACCCTTATGGCAGGATATAATAAAGTATACCCACAATGGTGCTTATTTACAAAACTCCGAATCGCAGATGCTATTACTCTTTCTTGGAGTTAACGGGTTCACCACCACACCATGCGGGTCCTTCATTTCACCTTACAGCAGTGTTTTATAGGTGCTATAGGCGTAAAGAGTTCCCACCACAGGCACTTGCGATCCAGAGTTCTCCAAATATCTCAGCACCATTGTGGGTTTAAGAAACAAAAATAATGAACACATTTATTTTGCATGACTGAATAGTTATAAGTCGGCATATTGCAAGAATAAATGTTATTCTCTAACGGCTCTTTACTCCTGCTCAGACACAATAGTTGGAATTTTAACGCTTTTCTGTTTATTTTCCTACTAAAAAGTTCGACGCCATACATATCGTACTCTCATATTGGTTCATCAAGGATATATCTTTCATTTTTTTTACATGAGTCTGGTTATCCCTATCCCAATCAAAAGCTATCTTGAATTTATGGCATATACTGCCTACTAGTTCATATTGGTGTTACCTCGCTTTCTGTTCATTTTCGATGGGAAATGAAAGGTTTTGCAAAAAAAAAAAAAATCTCGAAATGATCTGGCTTCCTTCTAATCACTTTATAAATGAATTACATAAAGCATTAAAATGATTAAAAGTTTCTAGGTCTATCTCTTCATCTGGTTTTGGCTACTCGGTATCGGCACTTATACCGCTGGTAACTTCATATACTGGTGTCTGCAGCTTCTATCTGACGAGAAACGAACCAGTTTCGTCGGCTGCTATCTTAAAGTTCTCAAATTAGTGAACGAGGAAGACCTCTCGCGTAAGTTTGCTTACTGAGCATAATTCTTCAGGGATGAGATAGATTAACACTTGACATAACAAGTGATCTCACGCTTGAATGTCATCACTGAGGATTTACGGATTCGCAAAATTGTTTAAGTCTCCTAAACTTTATGTCTATATTCTAGATCAACGATTACTGAACAAGTTTGTGCAGAGGTCGTTACGAGCTGATGGGGTGTTCATCCTTCATCTCATTTCTAAAAACGCCGGTGATATTATTACCAGCGATATCATCGCCACGTTATGGAAGAACTTCCTTGAAGACGAGGCAGAGAAGGTTATCCGAGCTTATTTTATCCTAGGTTATTCAAACTGATAGAAGAGATCTGAAACATCTCATCTCCAGAAGCGACTTAAGGATTGACATTCATTATGTGATGCTCTACTTCATTCCACAATCCACTGATATATCGACTCATCGTAGCAATAGATATCCCTAGATGGCAAACTAAAGAGAAATATGAGAGCTCATTTCTCCAGTAGGTCACTAAGGCTTAATAAGAGTTCGACATTCTTATCTAAAGGCCCAGACAATGAAATATCTACCATACTAGAGCCTGCGAACTAGCAATGAGTAATCGTCTCCCAAGAGTAGTGTGAATAAGCGGCCCTCTACTGAACCCTTTTAGTGTGGTTTCTGTGAGATAAGCGTACCTCAAAAAGCAGCTTACACATAGCGTATCGAATTTCCATATCTCCAATAGGGGAACGTCATCTACTTCAAAAAGCGCTTTTCGTTCTATTAAAATGAACCAATTCTTCTACCTCCAATGGATCACAATAACAATCGATTCATGTATTTGAAAAATATTCATATAACAACCTTCTAACTTTTAGGGACGCGAAGGCCCTCAAGCGCCTACTCTCGAGGATGTGGACGGGTTCAAAGAGCAACTTGACAAACATCCACTTAACTAGGCGCGAAATCAAATTGAGCCAGCACTAAGTGTTATTAATCGTACACTGCCCGAATATCTTCATAGATCCTCATAGTTCTTCACAAAAAGCTTCCTTCTCAACTCAGTCGATTTCTCCCTTTCTCTCTTCTCAGTACTAGGCTTTCAACTCCACCAGTGTTACCATATATTGCTGATGATTCCATAGATACTAATAGCCAAATTAAAACTATTTCAGTGACCAACGACTAGATAGAACTAATAACCGATAGTCATTTTGTATACTTGTTACTTGTGGTCACTGATCACACGATTCTCCTCATAAAGCGCGAAGATGTGTGTCGTGTACACATAAATGTATCTAATTGAGCTTGTAAATCATTCCATATCATGATTGAGATCGAGCATAGGTTCAAATTTTTTCCTGTTTGCCAGACTTACTTTTGCTAATTTATTTTATCAATGTAATGATAAAAAACTTCTTTATCAAAAACGTGTTCTACGATTACAGGTTACTGAATGCAAGAAAGTGTAAACAGACTCCATTTCTTATCCTGCGCCGTTTTCGATTCTCTTCCATTTTTGTCTTCGCCTCATTTTCCGTTTCTGTTCAGCTGAAACCTTTCCACGAGAGAATATCTTCCTTTTCAGGTTGACCTTCACATAGTTCCCTTTCAGCTTTTTCGATGGCGCACCACTATTAGGTGTAGGCCTAAACAACGAGTTGGTCAATAGAGCTCATTCTATTGAAGCTAACAAATTTCAATCTCCATGATAATAGTGCTCAGATCACAGATAGACAACGATTAAAGTGTCAAGAGAATTGAAAAACTTCTAGTCTTAATATCAGCACTCCCCTAACGCAATACAATTTTTACAACAGTAATCAACTAAGCGCTTGAACTCTCTTTTCACCACGTGTTCCTTCTCAGGATAAAATGCCACAGCTGTGTCCTTTTTAGATCTACAAATATCTTCAAGAATTCGAGTAATGGGAAAAACTAAAACCCAACTGCTTACACTCTACGCTTCTTCGATGGAATTTTTTCCGGTGTAAATGGTTTCAGCATCTCTTTCCGTTCACATTTCTCTGGCGTGGATAGTAGTAAATATTCAGCATTCTTAAACGTTTCAATCGTCATCAGCAAATATAACGTACAGCATCGTTCAAACTATACTCGAAACCAAACAGAACAAGGTAAAACCAGGCAAGCAATTTAACCGAAGAAACGAGAAAGATATTCATGTTGTTTTTCACGTCTTCAATCCCTTACCGACACAAAACCACTGTTTACTGACCTTCACTGAAATTTCTTTTTGCAGAAACGGCTTTCTTGGGGAGTGAAGTGGTGATTCTCCAGAAGTTTGCGTGAATACAATAGTTTTTTGTGGGCTTATACTACTCCAAGCGGCCGGCTGACCTATAAGGTCATGTTAAAATTTCATTAAAAAAGTTTTAAAATTTAGCATGGTCGAAAATGCTATAGATCGATATTCCGATTAAAAAGACTCTCTCGTAGTGATACAAAATCAGTACTGCTTCCGAATAAAAAATAGACGGTCAAAAAGAAAGGAAAAAAGAGAACTACTACGTGCCACAGAGAGAATACTTTATTTAACAATGCACAGTGACGACTGGGTTTTGTCCTATAATATGGAATCATATTCACTCCTATGTTAGTGAATATTTCATAAAATCGCATATTCTCCGAACGTAAAACTTGGACAGCACAGGAACGAACGCAGTCCGATTAGCAACTACAGTTAGTGGATTAGTGGAAGTTAAAACTATTTGAACTACACAAACTAAACATCAGAAGCAATTACACTAACCTTTCTCAGGTGTGTCAAAAAGTGATGTAAATATGGGAAGTTCTGCAGGCTGAAAATGGAAAACATGTAAAAAGAAGAGCAACAAGAGAAAATGCAGTGGTAACTAACCCTCGTTCCATTAACAGACACCTTCGGAGAGGTTCTCGGGCTAGAAATCGACTTTGCTTTTCCAGAGGTAGTGTCACTGTTTCCTGAGGTGGAATTCAAAGTTTTGTCGAATTTTACCTTAAAAAAAGGATTACTAATAGAACTCTAAGGACTCTGTGCAATACAGACGCAGCTTCCAGATCCTTCTACACTATTTTATAATCATTCACAACCAGAAAAACGAGATCTATACATTGTAAAATATGCACCGGTGAGCAAGCAGAAGAGATAGTCGAAGCGAATGACCCTTTTGTGAGATCCGTTCGAGTTCCCATAATTTCCGAATTCTCATATTGTCTACGAGCTTTCAAAGGCTTTTTTATCGGGCTTTTTTCGTCCTCCAGACGTGGTTGTTTCAAACAGACTTTGGCTCTGTGTGGTGCATTAACTCCTGTGAAGTTGCTGCTGGCTACGGAACCACCGAAATATTCTTCTGAAATCTGGCCAAACATTGGAAATGAAGTATTTTTCGACAAGACACATAAAGAGGGCATGTCATACTTGGAAAAAAATAAACGTAAAACTTAGTTCTGTTATGAATCAATTTTGCCTCGATAAAGAACCCAAGTACAAAACACTGCTTTACACCGCGAAATCCTTGACTAATGCAAAAACTAAAGATAGGAATTATTCACAAGTGACCAGTTAAGTACTGATAACACCAAAGTGAACTAAGTATAAAAAGTTGACAAATTGTTGCCGAGTATAGCAGCTGTTAGTGGAAATTAAGTCTTCGAGTCAGTCCTCGGCACCTTATGATCACTAACTTTGAGTAGGATTCTCGACTTCGTAGAAGTTGCCAAGCGAGACTTTCTCGTACTTGTCGCAGAGCAATATCTCAAACTTGGGTAATTAAACCGTTTATAACAATAATAATTCAAAAATAACGAAATATAAACATTGGTGCAATACAGACGGCAATATTGTATCATGATCAATAAATGAGGGTAATGCGGGCTAGTATCTTTGCTATAGATACAGAGCTATATGACAGCAATGTTAACATACAACAGTTACCACATACAACAAGAGAGAACACTTTGGATTGACTATAAGGCGCGTTACACATGATAAACCGGGATGGGGTGGGGGGGTAGGGGGGGGGGGACGAATACGGTATTGGCGCACAGGGCTCTTTAAATATCTTCTGGAGGAGGCGGTGCTTTGGCACAGGTCCAGAACCTTTACCGAAAACACCCATCAGCTTGTGTCTCCAGCTCCCCTGTGATCAGATGACAAAGGTTTGCCGGACAGCTTCAACCCTCTTTGTGTTACCGTACCCGTGATGGTTTGGAACAGAAGCAACACACAAAAGGTTCCGATTGTATAAAAAGAGTGTGTTTCACAAAGGATGTTTACGACAACCAAAGTTTCTCTCAACGAAGTGAAAACGTTTACATGCTGCAAGATCGCAAAGCGATGCTATAGGCCACGAATATGGTTGCCACAGATTTAAGATATGATGAATGAATAGTAACTATTCTGGCAATAGTTGCTATACCGAGGTTTTTAATTCAACACCATAAAGCATAAAAGTATTCGGCTTTTAACAAAGCTTTATTCCAAAAGATTGGTAAAGCACTCGAAACCATTAAGCACCGTAGACATGGATGCATACTTGGCCTGTACGGTGTGGGAGTCCCGCAATGCATCAAGCAGTGTTTTCATCCTCCTAGACCAGTCTACCAACAATTTGCCAGAAGCCGGGGCAGTCGTTTGGTTTATTTAAAGATAAAGATGGAACCAATGACTCCGTGTGCATCGCAATGCATCTCTGACCACTGCGCGACACAAGCTTATATCCAGTTCCATCGAACTTCCAATCCTCGTCGTGCACAAAAAGCGAGAGGATCATGGTTTGCACTGCATCGTACACATACCACTCATAGCTCGCTTTTATCAGCGTTTGTTCACAAAGTGTTGTAATGTTGCATTCGAATTGTAACTCTAGAGAGCCCGTGAACAAAGGCAAATGCTACTTCTTGCATTGTAGGTCACATTTGATTATATCTGACGTTTTGGATTCCAGTCCCATTCATACCGTTATGGACTGAGACATCAATCAATGGTACTTTCAAAACAGTACTAGTGTTTTCTTGATATATATCAATATTAATGGACATAAAGAAATTTGAATCACCATTGTCCTTAAAAACAATTCACCGCAGAATGCAACACAATAATACGTCACCAATCTTTAGTGCTTTTAAAAACAGCCAGTAACCATAGTTATACTCGGTATGTCAGCGTGTAGGCGAGTTCTAAATGATGTCACTTCCTACAGGTAACTCTAAAGGCATGGCTTCTTGAGTGCTACATGGAAAGGGATTACTTTTGATGATCTCCCGTTAAGATCCTACAGTATTCTTCTTAAAAACATACAACAGCACAACCCCCACAAAACATTCAAAAAATTGTCGCACGTTTTATACTTACTGTTTTGTCGAGTTTCTAGTAATGCACCTCAATGACGACGAATCTGGTTACTAAAGTGAATTAACTGTGGAGATTTCTCAATAAGGGAACACTTGACATAGATGACCTATTTTCGTAAAGTGGGAAGACTCCCACGATTAATTCAATGGACCGATCTTACCACATTTGTGCAAAAAAACCCCACATATTACACTTCAAGAAGTGGACAATTATGAACTGTTCAACAGATTCATTCACGAGTGGTTGCGTTCACTAAGCCAAAGGTGTCTCATGGAAGCCCAGTGGGATATCCCTCTATAGAAACATCAGAAACAACTCAAAGAGATACCCGATAAAAGTAAGTTGATAAGAAAACCTTCAAACCACTATGGAGAACGTAACTAGAAGATATGTTTAGCTACCCAAAAACAAATGAAACGTCAAATAATGTGGAGAACAACAGACAGGACTAAAACATACCTTTCACATGATTAGGAGCCATAATGTAATCACTCTTGGTCGGGGTTCGACCATATATTTCTAGAAAAGCTGCACGCCATTTCACTACAGATGTCATCCTAAAAATAGCACTTGTGGGAATAAAAAGTAGAGAAAGGAGGAAACATACTATGACATGTCTATTAGAGATAATGACTAACATAAAAGACTTAGGACCTTTCTCTTAAAGTTTACCTACGACATTATCACTTATGTAAAGAACAAAGCTGCTGGAAATGAAAGGTCCAGATCTTTAAAGTACTAATTTTAGATCGAAAAAGGGAAAGAACTATGAAGTACAGTAAAATTAACAGCATTAAATTGATTTAACACAAAGGATAAGAGTATGGAAAGGCTTGCAAAATGCAATGAACTCGATACTGCAGAGTGCAATGAGATTTTTCCGAACTCTAGTATTCTTAATGACCTTCTGCAACACCGTTACCTAGCATCTATCCATTCTGATAAAATACCACTCATGAAAATGTATCCAGAAACGTATTGGAATTAGAACACAATGGGAACCTTCTGTGTGAGTCTGGTTTATCCAAAACAGCGGTAACGTTCGATGACGTCCCGGCACATTTGAATTGACGAAACTTGCGCGCAAAAAGTGCTGCCTCGCCTGTCGTGGAGCGCCGTAGTTGAAGTGGGCCGTCCGTCGTTTATCAGTTATTTATGGTGTCCTCTAATGAATTTTCGAGTAATATTCACGCAGTATAAATCAACAATCCGGAAAATGGACGCTGCCTCCTTAAATAAACCAATTATGTGGTTCCGGAGACCGTCGACGCTTCACGAAAACAACTAACGATCGGAATTTCACGCTTCAGAATATCGTTCCCGTTCCCACGTTTCGGCGATATACATGCGTTAACACATGGCATTGACTAGCTCTGTGAGTCACTGAAGCGCTTTTCCGTACGAATGGCGACGAAAAAAAGGTGCTCGAAGGCCAAGGAGGAACTTATCGCTGGCTGTTGCGCTAGCACTTCAACCATAGACTTTTACTAAACACAAACAAGCTGAAAACTAGTTGAATGTATTATAGACAGTACTGAAAGGTTATATTTCTCACAGATGCTTCGGTGAGAATAAAAAATTCGTGACAGGCGCTTTACAGTTAGGACGCTTAATAGTTAGGAATTACCTAGGAAATTCCCGACAATTTTGTACCTAAAACTTTTTTACCACGATTTAAAAATAATTTTTGAGACGCTAAAATCTTACGTAATCTCTTTATTTCAAAAACTCGTTCTTGAAAACATTTTTTGTTTCAAAGACGTTCTATGAAACTACCAGAAAATTATGAATGAGGGCGCCCAGTACATCACTCTAAGTGAAATACATATAAGCAGACACATACATGTATATGTACATATATATAAAGAAACTCATAGGACGCAATGTAGAGGTGCTCTGCAACGCCCACAGCGTCTCTGGTTAGATCCCGCGCTCTAGACAAACCAAGCCCTTTAGCGCCAAATGTGCATCCACTCAATCCTATGATGATTACTGAGATATTTGCAAAACTCTGGGCCGCAGGTGTCTGCAGTGGGGAACGAACGCGCTATTGTCCTTTCCGAGGAGTAACGTATTCACCACCACACCATGCGGGTCCAATCGTTTCGCCTGTCTCTCAGCTAGTTCTATCGATCTGTGCCGTCAGCAATCGCCCATCAACAATGTACATGTGCCCACATGATGTGGTGGAAAACGCGTTACTCCCCGAAAAGGACAATAGCGCGTTCGTTCCCCACCGCAGACAACTGCGGTCTGGAGTTTTGCAAATATCTCAGCAATCTTGTGGTTGTATTTCGTTTAATATCTTGCCATAAAAATAATGTAAGGCAGAAAATAAAAAGTAAACACCTATGATGATTATTAGAGACGAATGTATGTCGCATCCCTAAGCGATTGATCGACTACGAAACGTTTGGTAACTAAATATAACCACTGCGGTCCAGTAATGAAAAGCGAAATTGGTCGCGCAGACGTTTTTGCCCCGTTCTCCATTTTTAAAATTCCTTCATTTTTCACATGCTAGCTAGAAAGCAGTCCATAGCTCTCATTTTCTCGTTCTCGAATCCTTACAGTGTTCATTGATTTCAAATGATTATAACAGATCTAGCAGTGATTTTCTATGTGACTGGCATGACAGAAGGCTGATTTAGAAATTTTTATTTGCCTAACGTTTCGGCGCCTTCGCCTTTAGCTGTGTTGTTCCGAGTCGATGGTCACAAACTGCTCGTTGTGGCGATGTTGGTGTTCGTAGTCGCATCGAATCGAAACCAGTAGAATGAGTACCACTCGAATGAAGAACTTTACTAGGCGCTGCCCTCTAGTACAGAACGGATGTTGGTCAGTTGTTATGCAATATGATCTGCTTTCTCAGGGAATTCGTCCTGTAGCAGTCGATACTTCATCTGCAGGTACATAACCTGACAATATCTTAAAAGCCGACTTTCATTAAATCTCTATAGTAATCATCAAAAACTCTCTGTTGGGAGCCCAAACGTTAGCAGAATAAAAGCTTTTC